GAAAACCATTGCTATTCTAGAGGAAGCCATTCACTGCTCAAATATTAATTGTGTAAAGATAGTAAACATTGTTACAGTAGTTCTACAAAGATATTGTGACGGTATTGAGAAAAGCAGAACATTTATCGTTTAATGTTAAATCCACGGTTAGTTTTGTTTCAGTCCCTGGCAGGAATGATGTTGTTAAAGACGCCCATGATAGGACTCGTGGTTGCTTTCTTGCGCTGTGAGATGCGGGAAAACACACTGCACTGCTATTTTGAATTCCGTGATCACTGATCGATATAAAGCAAAAGTTCAAAATTACATCTCTGACCTTGATAATAATGGTAATTATGTATCTAGTGCGGATATTGTGGAGATTATCGGTATGTTTCCAGCTCCGTCACATGATTTTGATGGTTTCTGCGCTGAAAATCTCAAGTATTCTAACTAAATGTACATTTGTCTATGTGTATCTCAGCCATGTTTACCCATGGCTATATCCCCCCCTGAGATGTCAAGCGTTCTTCTACTCCAATCCTCTATTGAAACATAAAAATGGAGATGTAACCAGCAAGAACAACTACCGTCCTATTGCTATTACAACAGTACGATCAAAACGAGTGGAACATTTATTTCTTGAGATGTGAACTATACCTCATGGCTACCAGCAATCAATTTTACTGCTGCCGATTGTGGTACACGTACCGTAAATCCAACATGAACGCTCTAAAGTATGTTACAATAATGCATTCCGCAAGTGACTGTAGCACTGGTACTATGTTCGTTACAAACCGTTTTCATGTATTTATAGTAATCTCATTCTCAAATTTAATGAACGTGTTCAGATGTTGTCAAATCGTCTGCTTTGGAGCCTGTATAATTCTGATATACGCTAAAAGTCAGTACTTTTCCAACCCTGAAAAAAGCAGCTGTACTAACTTTTATTCTTTATTTGTTTGTTTTGTTCTGCTACAATATAATAATATATCCATTTGTGCTGTTTTTCAGGGTTCTGTATTCATTTTCAGAAAAGTGCGCCATCACATGACACACACGGATTGCTCGGCTAGGGGATCAAAACAACTATTTGGTGTTAGCTAGCTAGCTAAGGTGTCAGCCTCGTTTTCAGACGTCAACAAGAGTAAGTCAGTTTGTCAGAAGAAATGCCAAGAGGGTGATTCTTCATCGTATTTGGCAGATCCTGTCGCAAAAAGTGCCTCATATAAACTGTCTGCCGAAGAAGTAAAGTCCGAAGTAACATTCTGATCTGTATAACATTCGAAGTCAATTTTCTTGGTAACTAATCGTGTACGTCCGAGGTAATTTTTTGTCATATTCTGAATCAGTTTCAACTTTTCCCTGGTTCTGAAGACCTCGTGTGACCTGTCAAATAGTATGTCGTATGCTGAAATTATAGTATACCACATGATCTGTTGCGCAGATTTAATTCGAAGAAAAATGAATTTGCTGTTGTGTCGTAGTATATAAAAATACCAAATAGCCTTGATGTTTCTTTTATGCGATGACCATTATTATTGCTGAATGCATTGAGGCAGAACAGCTGCTTTAGAACACGTTGTCTTTGAAGCATTAGAAAAGTTGTCAAGTTGAAACAAATTCTTTGTCCATTTCGTAATATTAATGTGCACTGAATGACGATATTAAGAGGGTTGAACGTGTTTGTTTTTGTAATACCAATATTTTTGAATTAATTTAATTAATTTGTATTTATTATTTAATGATTAACATTTTAAATTTATTTTTATTTTACAAATAAAATGTCACCAGAATACAAAGTTACAGTAAAGTCTGACTAAAACTTGTAATTCAGCCACTCAAACAATTTAATTTATAATATTTTTGATGCGATTAATTTATCATCCAGTTTTAAATTAGTAATATCATTTGGATACAAGCGGCGTCATAACTGTGTGAAGTTTATCTTCTCAGGACGATTAGTAATTTCAACCACTTCTTTTGCATAACTGATGTGTTCCAAACATCGTTATCAGATTACAACGATAAAACAATATGTATTATCCATTATTATTCTTTGGTGCAATCCCAGGGTTTGGAAGGTTCCCCTTTAAGGTAGCGAGAAGGTTTTGTGACGTTTTTAAATAAAACATTCTCTGTCTGTTGTCTCGTTCAGAACAGTAATTTAGGTTATATATATCAAAAGACTAAGTATAGAGGTGCAAGTTCGCACAAACTGGACAGACATTGTTTACATAATTATCACGTGACATCAAAAATGGCGAACCTTGTAAAAATGACTAAGTACGCGATTGCGAGAGCACACTGCAGAATTTCCTGGTGAAATTTAAGTTATGCATTGTCCGTAATCAAGTCCATTGAAATGCGTCTCCGATAATCAAAAGACCTATTATTCCGATTTCTATGCAGGTTTGTTTTTTTGTCCCCAAATTATTTTATACTTGGCACCTTTAACAGACTATTATTCTGTGACAAAGCATTTTCTTTAAA